GTGGGGAAGAGAGGGGAGGCTTGTGATTGAGGAGGGGGAGCCTGGGAACTCAGAGAAGAAGGGACCCACCTGACAGTCCGTCTGCCTGTGGGGAAGAGAGGGGAGGCTTGTGATTGAGGAGGGGGAGCCTGGGAACTCAGAGAAGAAGGGACCCACCTGACAGTCCGTCTGCCTGTCTTCCTCTGCTTGTCTGTCCTCTGAGTCCAACAGTCCCTCCGACACGGGGGAAGGAGAAGTGGCCAGTCCCCAGCTGAGTCTTGATCTTGACCGGCTCACCTGGGCGTACGTTGGTCCCTGGGGGTCTTCATCTTGTGTGTTCTGCTGCGGACAGACAGTGAGGGGGAGGTTTGTCTCCTTGATGCCCCTTGACCACCTCAGACAAGTTTCCCCAATGTTGCCAGAGCGATGCTTCAAACTTTCCTGCCCATTAGGTCACTTTCCTGGTGAGCTCTGCAGGGGCTTCCTGAGCCTTGGGGCGTGTGATTCTTACTCTGGCTCTGATTCTATTCCGGACAGTGTTTCTTGCTCATTTGGTTGCAGCTGCATGGACCATGTTCCTGATGAAGCATGTTGCTGCCTCAGGACCTTTGCACCTGCTATTCCATTCCCTGGTTTTATCTTCCTTGGCCACACATTGCTCTCGAGGATGCTGCCCACTTCCGTGCATATTGTCCACCACCAACAAAGTGAGCTTATGGAGGGGGGTCAGATTTGCTCACAGCTATGCCGGCAGCACTAGGTGGGGCCTGGCAAATGCTGGGCTCCCTGTATCATTTGCTGGGTGAATGAATGAAGGGACTTAGTGAACTGTGGGATAATCATTTCTTCATGCACCCTCTTGAGACGTGAGTATGGACCCCAACAACCAGAAGTCAGACAGTGGTTGGGGAGCCAGACAAGGGGAGCACAAAGGAGGCCCCACAAGGTCACAGTGGGCTGATCCTGGGTGCCCAAGGAGCGTGAGGGCCTCTGAGGGACACTACTGAGACTGGGTGGTGTGAGGACACGGAAGTGTCCACTGGATTCAGTTTGGCACCACAAGGGCCCTGGAGTCCGCACAAGAGTGGGGGTCTCACCCGATGGTCCAGCTCCACCCCCTCCTCAGGCTGAATGTCTTGCATGGCAACATCTGCTGGGACAGAAGAGGGTGTGTCTCTTGGCAAGGTCCCCTGAGCCCTCCTCTCAGGGCTGCAGACCCCACCCTGCTCCCAGATAGGGCATCTGCCCTCCCGGGGCTTCAGCAGTGGGCTGAGGGGCATGTGGGAATTCAGTCCTCACCCCCGACGCCGGACCCACCCAGCCCACCCCCAGTGCGGCCCCCTTTCTCTCACAGAGGCTCTCCTCCTGGGCGGCTGGGGCTGGGCTGGAGCTGGGGAGGAGACAGGGTGTTAGGGGGGCATAGCAAGGGCAGGTGGGTGGGAGTCTGGGGGACTGCGGGCAGGAGTTACCTGTCGTGCAGGCCTCTGTCCTGGGGCTCCGGGTCTGCAGCCCCTGCAGGATGTTGGGAATCAGTCTCCCTCTGGGCTGGGAGGGTATGACCCCCACCCCCCCAACCATGTGATTCCAGGGAAAGGCGCCCTTCACACATACTGTCTGTGTGTTTCTCCAACTCCCCAGTTTGAATGGAGGGAAGTACCTTCAACTAGCTCTTGGGGCCCAACCTGGGGGTTTCTTTCTAGATTCTCTGGGTTGAGATTCTGCACAGTTGTCCTTCTATGCTGGCCTTTCCCACCACTCTGGTTTCTCTCTGGCCGCTGCCCTGAGCCCACCCTCTCGGCCCATGGGGCAGCCACCACCCCTGGAGCCCGTCATCCCCTTCCCTTCTCACCTGGCTTCCTGCCTTTGCCCTGACACTGGTGCTGGACTGGAAGAAAGACAAGGAGGCCAAGCAGCAGGACGAAGGCCACCGAGGCCCCGATGAGGATGTACAGGTACCAGTGGGGACCTTGTGCACGAGCCACACCATGAATGAGACAGTGATGCCATTTCACTGAGCACCTACTGTGTGCCAGGCACTTGCTGGGCTCTGTGCACTCAGCTCTGACCCTGTCAACGATCACCCAGCAGACGATTGCCGCCCCTCCCGCCCACCCAACAGACAGAAAACTGAGGCACAGAGAGGTCATTCACATGTCTCAGGTCGCCCAGCCTGGAGGCAGCAGGGCTGAGACTAGAACCAGGGCTGTGGGTTCCCTGTGTTCTCCTCATGCTGTCCCCTGTGCAGACACCAGCTTGGGGCTCTGGGCTCCTCATCTGGGGCCCGGCCTGTCCCAGCATCTTCTTCTGGAGCTGAGGGTCCTTCCAGATTCCCCTTATTACCGGAATGCCCCCAGCCATTGTCCTCCCTCCCCTCCCCCTACAATGTCACTGTCATTGCTGCAAAGGGACAGAACTCCCCATAGGTCACGACCTGGGGGGCTTCCCCGTGAGCCCTCCTCTCCCAGGATCAGAGCCATGGTCTGATGGGAAATCTACTCTGTCCACGACTCTCTCCTTTACAGTTGGGGAAACTGAGGCCCACACAGGGAGGGGCATGTGCCAGCCAGCGCCTCCGGAGGACCCTGAACTGACGGTACAGCTCAGACCCCGCTCCCCATGGACCCACCCACCAAGGCGGACAGAGACCCTCACTCACCCTCAGAGCCTCTGGGGTCAGCAAGGGTGAGGCGCCGGGCCTGCCGGGCTCCGCACTGCACCTGACTGCTCCTCCCCCACTGGGCCCCTCCCCCTCCCCCTGCCATGACCACCCCAGCCCCCCTCCACCAGCCTCAGAGTTCCTGGAGCCCCATCGTCCCCCTGGCATCTCTGAGAGCCTAGAAGAAAAGTCTCTGGAGAGCAGCCCCTGTGACTCACCATCTGCTGAGCCTGGCCCTGTGGTCCGGGGGCCCGTGGTTGGGGGGCCGGGGTCCATAGAGGGTCCTGGGGAAAAGACAGGAGTGTGGAGGGGCTGGAGCTTGCCCTGAGACCCTGTCTCTGCTCACACTCTTCCTCCTCATGTGCCCTGATCCCCAAGCTCCTCCTCTCCCAGGAGAATACTGGGGCTGGGGCGAGGGACAGGCAAGCGTGGGAGGACCCGTTTCCCTCCTGCACCATGAGGGTTGGACCCCTCTGCGGACACTCCCTTGGAGCCCCTCACTCCAATCCTAGACCAGAGCCCTCCTGGTCCCAGGGCCCTGAAGACAATGTTGGGACACAGAGGGGACAGGGTCAGCGACTCTCACCTGAGACCAGGAGCTCCAGGGGGTCACTGGGCTGGGACAACAGGTAGGGGGAGGTGCTGGTGGAGCCGTAGCACCTGTAGGTCCCCCCGTGGGCTGAGGTCACAGGACTCATGGGGAATTCAGCCTGGTGCTGCCCAGCTTGGTACTGTGATCGAAGACGCAAGGGGGGATCGGCTGCCCCCTCCTTGGACAGAAGGAAAGTGTCCACAGAGCTCTGTGACTGACACAGCAGGGTCACATTCTCTCCTGGGGCGACCGTGGGTCCCGGCTGCACCGAGAGGGAGGGTGTGTAGGGCAGCTGTCCTAGAGAGAGGAAGGGCGGGTGAGGGGCTGTCCAGCCCTTGATCTGAACTGAGTGTGTCTCTGTCCTCCGAGTCTGTCCCTTCTTATCCCCCGTCTCTCTCTGTCTCTTTCTTCCTGGGGACCCCACACTCCTGGTCTCAGCCACCACTACCTGGGGCTCCCCTGGCAGGACCTGTGCAGAGTCTGGAGTCCTGACTGACACCGTGAGACCTCACCTGCGAGCAGGATGTCCAGGGGGTCACTGGGGGCCGACCACTCGGAGGAGAGGTTATGTCCACCGTAGCACGTGTACCGGCCCCCGTGGGAGGGTCTCACCAGGCCCAGGTAGAAGTTTGCCCTGGAGAGCCCAGGCTGGGTCTGCCGGCCAAGCCGCCGTGGAAGGTCAGGTGCCCCCTCCTTGGACAGAGCGAATCTGTTGTAGCCGACATCAGAGTGACACTGGAGGGTCAGCCTCTGTCCAGAGGTCACGACAGGGTCCTGCTGGGTCAGGAGGGAGGGCTTCTCCGACACACCTGGGAGAGACCAGCTGTGGAAGGCAGGGGCTGCTTCTCCCCAAACCTCCCTTCTCCCGTCCTGATCCACGAGTCTCACCATCCATCACCGTCAGTGACACTGACCTGCGAGTCCCCGTGGTCCCCTCACCCACCCTCTCATTGGGGCTCCCCTGGGAGCAGAGTCCCCGTTACCTGTTTGGTGCCTCAAAACACGGATGGGGCAACAGTCAGACTTTCTCACCTGAGACCAGCAGCTCCAGGGGGTCACTGGGGTCCGACCACACCTGGGGGGTGTTGCTGTAATAGCCGTAGCATCGGAACGTCCACCTGAGGCTGGGGGTCACGGGGCCCACAGGGAACAGGGCCTGGGTCCCCCCATGGGGGGCTGGCCTGGAGACCAGGGTCCAGGAGGGCTGACCTTCTCCTTCCTTCATCAGGACAAACCTGTGGAATCCCATCCATGAGGCACACTGGAGGGTCACGTTCCCTCCTGAGGTCACGACAGGGCTGGGCAGGGCTGAGAGGCTGGGTTTGCCCTGGGATCCTAGGAGAGGAGGAGGGGGTGGTGTTAAATGAGGCTCAGATCCCCCACATTGTCCCCAGGCTGGGCTGTGAGCGGGAGACACCTGAGGCCCCCCCCTTCCTGAGGGCAGAGCCTGGGGCTGGGACCCTGAGTGGGCTCACACCTGTCACCACCACCAGCTCCAGGGGGTCACTGGGCTCTGACCAGCTGGTGGGACTGAGATAGTCACAGCGGTATCTTCCTGCATGTACATCTGTCATGTGTGCGATGGGGAATTTGACCTTGTCTTTGGATTCCAGTGGCTTCTGTCTGTCCCAGGTCTCTAACTTCCCCTCTTTATGCAGGCGGTACTCCTGGGCCTCCAGGCTCCCCTGACACCAGATGGTCACAGATGTCCCCCAAGGTATCACAGAGCCTGGCGCAGCCCAGACAGTGGGTCTGGAGAGGGTCCCTGGAAGGAAACAGAGGCTGGGACACAGACCTTCCCCACCCCCAGGTCCCAGCTCGGCCCCAAACCCCCAGACGTCCCCCTCGGTCAGCCCAGAACTTCTGTTCTCCATCCCCGGCTGCCTGGTGGGTGACTCCTGTCTCCAGTGAGGAGATGGGACTGGGACCCCTGGGGTCAACTCACTTGTCTGTGCTTGGGTCCTGGAGCCCAGACTCAGCCCTGGAAGAGAGTCCCTGTGAGAGGTTTGCCCCGAATCCTAGCAGATCCCCTCCTCCCGTGAGCCTCCTGAGCCTGGGGTCTCCGACAGACCAGGGCCTGTCTGTGGGGGCGAGTCCCTCCCAGACTAGGGTGTCCCCTCCTCTCCTCAGATCTCACCGAGACAGAGCAGGGCTGTGAGTGTGGGGGCCATGGCGTCTCCTCTCTCTGGTTTCAGCTGTGCAGATGGAGGGTCGACTGTGACCGCAGGACAGACAGACACACCGGGTGTGGTCACGGGGAGGCCAGTCTTGCCTGTCACAGGGTTGTCACGTCAGCAGTCCCAGAGGAAGAGGAACAGCCCCTCCCCAGGCCCAGTCTGTCTCTGGTGTCCATGACGGTGCAACGGGTGGACCTCGAGGCTTCCTGAAGTGCCCCATCTGGGTGAGGAGACCAGGGCAGGTCCTTCCCTCCCAGAGCCTCCCCCATGGGTCTCCTTCATCCCCAGCACACCCCTGGTCCTCACCATGGATGGGTCTCCAGACCCAGGGTTGCTGGGTGGTTCGTGGGTTCCTGCTGTGCTGGGGAGCTCATGTCAGCACAGACACTCATGTGACATCTCTGAATGGCTCAGGTCAAGGTCATGGTGACAATGAGCCCAGAGGAGAGATACGGGCACATAGAGAAGGGAACACTACCCCGCTCATGGCCCAGAGCATGGGCTCTCTTTCTGTCACAGCCTCCAAGGACTTCTCTGTTTTGCTCTGTCACTGTCCACCTCTGGCCTTGCTGGGAACATCCCAGACCGTCCGTCCTGACTCCCTGGTGCCCCTTGTTCCTGGGGCAGAGCTGACCTCCTCACCCCGCGGTCCTGTGTGCGAGCATCAGGGGACGTGTATTTGGGCTAGAGCTCTGATTTTGCAGGAAAGTGGAACTTCACTGAGCTATTCTTGGACCGTCCACTGCCAGCCTGACCTTGGGTGGCGTGTCCTTGCTCTCCTCCTCAGTTCCCATCTGCTGCTGTTGTCCTGGACTGCACCCCCCAGGGCAAGTGTGGCGATTGGGTGTCAGGGTCATGGGAGGGATGGGGAATTGTGAGATTCCAGACCAGGTAAGACGAGCATGGGCTGGGGGTCCTGTTGTGGTGGTGGGGTCCCGGGTCCAGACTCTGCATCCAGGTGGCTGGTTCGTGTGCCTGCTGGAGACCTTGTCTGCTCTGAATGCCGGTTTGCCCCTCACAGCACGTCTGAGATATGTGGACACAGAGACATGCAGGTAAAGGGGAAATGAACTTCTCCAGAAATAAGTGGAACCCCAGCAGGGCACAGAGAACTAAGCTGAGTCCCCACTGCTGCCTGGGACCGCGGAGGCTGGAAGGGATGATTTTCCACCCGTGTGGATGCAGAAGGGTTCCCCAGGGTCCTCTCAGTGGGGAGTGCTCAGGGATCCAGGAGAAGGTTGGGCCGCAACCTCTTGAGAAACAAGAAGGTGTAACTGTCCCTCAGAACAATGTATTACCTAAAATATAACCCATGGGAAATTTTACTAGTTACCAAGTACGTTTAGATGCAGCCTCAGGAAAAACACATACCGGCAACAGGCCTCTGGGGGAGAGGACGATATACGGCCTTGAAACAGAGCAGCTGGGGATGCCTGGCCCGCTCAGGGCGGAACGCCGACTGCTTCATTTTTCGGTTATTCCCCCCAACCCCCCCACCCCCAAGAGGGCCTGTGACTACTTAGATAAGTCCTTTGAATGTGCTTGTTCAACTATAAACTTTGTACTGCTTGTCCAGGCATATTTTGCCCTCCTTCTTGTTTATCTACAAGGCCTATGACTAATGTTTGGCCTTCTTTGGCTCTTCTCTTGATTACTGTCTATATCTAATAAAAGTGGGACTGAGGAGTTGTTTGGAGCAACAGTCTTTTCTACTGTTGTCCCCTGCGCCCTTTCTCTTGCAGCGGACTTGTTTGTGCCTCATTCTCCTGTGCACCGTCAGGAAGCGGCAAGAAGGCATTCAGGGTCGAATCCCTTAATACCCAGAGGGGGCTTCCTCTCCTAGCAGTGGAATCTTACACTCTCACAAGGGGACGTGGATGCCAAGGGCAGAAACCGCTGCGGGCATGCCCACCTCGCCATGCCTAAGTCCTAGCGCAGCTATAGGAGGAGCCTGTCTGGAAAACCAGGTGAGTCGAAATTCAGCCTTCCAACAAGGGTCACCACAAGAAGGAATCCTAACAACAAGAAATGGCGCTACAAAAGACAACCGTAATGCTCATTAAGAATGCTCTCACTGTAGGCATGAAAGTACAATGCTAGGAAGATATAGATTTATCTTAAATGAAGACTGTGTTTAAATGTCCGAGAGAAAAAGGAGGTCCTTGACTTTTTGAGACAAGAGGCAATTGTAGAAATGAATTAGAAATCTTAATGGTGGGGCACCTGGGTGGCTCAGTGGGTTAAAGCCTCTGCCTTCAGCTCAGGTCATGATCCCAGGGTCCTGGGATTGAGGCCCACATTGGGGTCCCTGCCCAGCATGGAGCCTGCTTCCTCCTCTCTCTCTGCCTGCCTCTCTGCCTACTTATGATCTCTGTCTGTCAAATAAATAAATAAAATCTTCAAAAAAAGATACAACTGAAAAGCTAAACAGGAAGCTAGAACACAATATTGAGGAATTTTTCCAGAAGGTGGAATATCTAGACCAGAAAAGGAAATTTCAGGCACTTGAGAGTAGAATGAGGAAGACCAAGGTCATGAGTAGCGAGTCAGAAAGAAAGACCTGATAATGTTGTCTGCCAACAGCCTAAGAAGTAAGTAGTTGAGCGTTTTCCCGCAGATGAGGAAAGATCATTTAAATGGTAGTGGACACACATTTAAAAATAAAACCCGTATCTTCATACTTCATAGTAAAAGGCAGAAATCGAGGGTACATTAGCTTTTAAAATTCTACATTTTATTTACTCTTCTCCTACCCCCTTAACCCCCCATGTTGTATCTCCTCTCCCTCATATCAGGGAGATCATATGATAGTTGTCTTTCTCCGATTGACTTATTTCGCTTAAAGCATGATACCCTCTAGTTGTACCCCTGGGGATAAAAATATATTATATGTTTAAAAAAAACAAAATTAATAAAAAAATCCATCTATAAAATTCTACATTTTATCATACATTTCAACATGGTTAATGTTATTTGTGAATATCACCTCATTTGAACAATATGCATGAGGGCTGGTCTGGGCCACAAAAACTTCCTGAAACTCCTTCCTGGGGAAAATGCAAATATCATTCATTAAATGAGACGCTCACCCAAAGGCAGAATTAGGTGTCAGAAGATACTGGAAAACATCGCCAAGGAATTCATTATTGGGAGAGGATTTTACATTGATCCAGGTTACTAGTGAGGTTGAACATGAGAACACCGGCAGAGACAGATTCCTTTGTTCTGGGACCAGGAGACATATCTGCCCTGTTGGGACTCCGGTCCTCTCATTCAAGTCAGCGTGTCAGGCTGTGCCTTCAGGAGAGATGGGGAGGAGCTGTGGGTTAGATCCTCAACCACCAGATGGCTTTCCCTCCAAACAGCTGGGTCTTGTCCTTTCCTTGGTGTGTGAAGATGTTAAGAAATATCTAGATAAAGAAAGACAACCATATCTGCCAGAGGAAATCTTAGCAGTGACTTCCAAAGTCTTCCATATCATCCAGTCCTTTCCAAACTTCATATAATTGACAAAAAGTTTTTAAGTGTAGTGTCTATTTTGAAAACTTGTTTTTACTAATAAAATGTCCTTTTTAAAATTCAAATTCAATTAACCAACATGTGGTACATCATTCATTTCAGAAGTAGAGCTTAGCTATTTATCAGTTGCATAGAACACCGAGTGTTCACTTAAAAAAAAATCATCAGGCTAGCTTGTTCTGGTGTGTAGAACAGAATACGACACTCCTGAGATCTGGATTTTTTTTTTTTACTGTGTTGTGTTAGTGACCACACAGTACGTCATTAGTGTTTGGTGCAGTGTTCCAAGATTCATTGTTTGCGTATAACACCCAGTGCTCCATGCAGTCTGTGACCTCCTGAATACCTATCACTGGGCTCACCCATCCCTCACCCCCCAAAACCCTCAGTTTGTTTCTCAGAGTCTATAGTCTCTCATGGTTCATCTCCCCCTCTGATACCACCCCCCCTTCACTTTTTCCTTTCCTTCTCCTCATGTCCTCCATGTTATTCCTTATGCTCCACAAATAAGTGAAACTATATGATAATTGGCTCTCTCTGCTTGACTTATTTCACTCAGCATAATCTCCTCCAGTCCTGTCCATGTTGATGCAAAAGTTGGGTGTCCATCCTTTCTGATGGCTGAGTAATATTCCATTGTATGTATGGACCACATGTTCTTTATTCATTTGTCTGTTGAAGGGCATCTTGGCTCTTTCCACAGTTTGGCTGTTGTGGATATTGCTGCTATGAACATTGGGGGTGCATATGGTCCTCCTTTTCACATCTTTTCACATTCTTTTACATCTGTATCTTTGAGGTCAATACCCAGTAGTGCCATTGCTGGGTCATAGGGTAGCTCTATTTTTAATTTTTTGAGGAGCCTCCACACTCTTTCCTAAAGTGGCTGTACAAATTTGCCTTCCCGCAAACAGTGTAGGAAGGTTCCCCTTTCTCCACAACATCTCCGGCATTTGTTGTTTCTTGCCTTGTGGATTTTGGCCATTCTAACTGGTGTAAGGTGGCATCTCAATGTGGTTTTGATTTGCATCTCCCTGATGGCTAGTGATGATGAACATTTTTTCATGTGTATATTAGTCATTGGTATGTCTTCTTTGGAGAAGTGTCTGTCCTTGTCTTCTGCCCATTTTTTGACTTGATTATCTGTTTTTGGGTGTTGAGTTTGAGAAGTTCTTTACAGATCTTGGATATCAGCCCTTTGTCTGTAGTCATTTGTGAATATCTTCTCCCATTCCATGGGATGCCTCTTTGTTTTATTGACTGTTTCCTTTGCTGTGCAGAAGCTTTTTACCTTGATGAAGTCCTAAAATTTTGTATTTACTTTTGTTTCCCTTGCTTTTGGAGACGTGTCTTGAATGAAGTTGCTGTGGCTGATGTCGAGGAGCTTACTGTCTATGTTTTCCTCCAGGATTTTGGTGGATTCCTGTCTCACATTGAGGTCATTCATCCATTTTGAGTTTATCTTTGTGTATGGT